ATTTTTTTTTTTTTTATCTTTGGCCAACTTACATTTTATTTCTATTTCTTAAGTAGACACGCATGGGTCTCGCTTCTTGCTCAGGCTGGTCTCACTCTGACCTCCAAGCGATACCTCCCGCCGTCGGCCTCCCGAGGTGTCGAGATTTACAGGCATGAGCCACCTTTCCGTCCGGCCGGTTTACTCTTCTAATTGTCGCCGTCTCTCGTGTGCAGTGCAAAAACCCACTGCGTCATGTGGCCATTTGACCTGGGCCCCTCGGGGGTCCTGTCTCCCCTGCAGGACTTGGGGGCTCTTGGCGAACGATGCCCACCTTATGCTTCACGTTCGGCCTTTCTGTCCCGTAGAGGTGAGCAAAGGCCTTTTGTCTCTGACCAGGGGACTGAACGTGTCGTCTCTGCCCACTTGCCCATGAAAAAACAGTACCAGGTACCTTGTAGCTTTGCGAAAGAAGTAGTTAAGAAATTTCCGGAACCCTGCTACAGTTGCTTGACATTTTGGTCAGATGAGGAGGGTGCTAGCCAGAGGCCATGCTTTCGTCGGCGCTAGGGTTGGGGAGTACGAAAAGACCTACTCTGGCACGTTGGAACGGACTGGTTCTCACCACGGTGGTTGGCAGAGGGCTGGTAGGACGCGGGAGGAGAGAGTCCTCCTTCCCCCCGGGCCCCCGTGCTACCTGGCTTCGGTTACGGCAGGCAGAGGTGAAACCAGCGGTCTGCATGGCGCTCTGCTGCTCTATTTGTACGCTACCCCGGCCCCGCCTGCTGCAGGGCACCCTGGCTGTGGTTGCTGAGTCAGAGACGAAAGGTGGTTTCAGGGATGAGCTTAAGCCATGTGGTTCCTTGGTTGAGCTTGGCGAAGAGGCGGCGGGAGCCTGACAAGCATGAGACAGTAAATGCCAAGTTCTGTCATTCTTTGGTGTGGAGGCCGCTTGTCTGCCGGCTCTGTCCCCTGGTCTCTCTCTCCCTGCTCCCACCCGTCCTTGAGACCTTCTCAGCTGCTTTAAGGAAGAAGAGGTGGGCGCGAGGTGCTCAGGCGCTGCTCGACCCTACTCTGGGACACGCCGACGGCGAGGAGGACCCCTCGTTCGACCGTCAGCGAGGGTTCGGAAACCAAAACCTGAGCAAGAGCGAAGATCCCCGTCTTCTAACTTAAAAAATAGAACATCTCTAGGCTCTGGGGCGTGGTGGCTCAGCCGTCGATCCTGCACTCGTGGGAGGCCGAGGCAGGAGGTTGCTCAAGCTCAGGGTTTTGAACATAGCGCTGACCATAGATGCATCGCCCGTCTCTACTTAATAGAAAGAAATTATTGGCCAACTACAAACATCCCTATATAGAAAAATTCAGCCGGCATGGTGGCATGCCTGTCCGAGTCCCAGCTCACTCCGAGGCTGAGGCAGGTAGGATCGCTCGCTCCCAGGAGTCTGAGGTTGCTCGGCGTGAGCGCAGGTGGAGCCACGGCACTCTCAGCTCTCGGCCTGCGGCCACAAGCCAACAAGTGGAACTTCTGTTTCAAAAAAAGAAAAGGAAGGAGAAGGGGACCTACCCAGGGGTTGGGCTGAGGTCTGTATGTCTTAGGCGGGGGCACAAAAGCCATACCGCACTGCTGAATATGCGGGGAACGTCAGGCAGAGGAAGGAATCTGTTGGATATGGGCGACAGCCAGTGTCGTCATTCCCGTGGGCGCCGGCATCTAGGCCGACTGGTTGGGCCCTTGGGCAGCCTTGCACAAGGAGAAGGAAGCCAGTTTGTCACTCGCGGGCGGGCCTTGTGTTGCTGTTGCAGCTGTGACTCGCTCCGCTGCTGGAGCGTGGGGTTGGGTTTGGACGTGTCCCAGCGCCGTGGTTCGGTGGATCGCCGGCGGGAGGCACGGGGGTCTGTTCCGATCAGCAAGGGAGTCGAAGCGGGTGGCAGCTCGTGCCCTGGGCCCCCATACCCTGGTGATTCCTTTGAGCTACAGGTTACTAAGACTGATGATTTTGCCACGTATGTAAAAAGCTTGTCCAACTCAATATGAGCACTATAAACCCAGTGGTTTTTTTGTTTTTTGTTTTGAGACAGAGTCTCACTCTGTTGCCCCGGCTAAAGTGCTGTGGCATCAGCCTTGCTCACAGCAACCTCAAACTCCTGGGCTCAAGTGATCCTCCTGCCTCAGCCTCCTGAGTAGCTGGGACTATAGGCACAAGCCACCATGCCCAGCTAATTTTTTCTATATATTTTTAGTTGTACAATTAATTTCTTTCTATTTTTAGTAGAGACAGGGTCTCTCTCTCCCTCAGGCTGGTCTCTAACTTCTTACCTCGAGGGATCCTCCTGCCTCGGCCTCCCAGAGTGCTAGGATTACAGGCGTGAGCCACCGTGCCTGGCCTAAACCCAGTAGTTTTAGAAAGAAAAACAACAAAGATTTTAACAGGCAGTTTTCAAAAGAAGATATACAAATAGACAATACGTACATGAAAAGATGCATAACGCCATTAGTCATCTGGGAACTGCAAATTAAAACCACAGTGAGCTAGCACTTCATGCCCACTAGAATGGTGTTTTTTTATTTTTATTTTTTCCCTGTTGCCTGGGCTAGAGTGCAGTGGTGTAATCATAGCTCACAGCAACCTCAAACTGCTGGTCTCAAGCGATCCTCCTGCCTCAGCCTCAGACACATGCTACCTTGCATTTTTTTGTAGAGACAAGGTCTCGCTATGTTGCCCAGGCTGGTCTCAAACTCCTGGCCTCCAGCGATCCTCCCGCCTTGGTCTCCCAGAGTGCTGGGATTATAGGCATGAGCCACCCAGCCCATCCAAAAATGGCTAAAATCAAAAAGACCCACAAACTGACGGTACCAGTTGTTAGCAAGGCTACAGAGCAGCTGAAACCCTTACACATTGCTGGTGTGTATAAAATGGTACTGTCAAGTTGGGAAATAGTTTGGCAGTTTCGTGCAAAATTAAAAATAAACTTATGATCCAGCAATTCTACTTCTAGGTATTTACTCAAAAGAAAAGAAAAAAATGTATCCATAGAAAACTTGAATTTGAATGTTCTTAGCAGCATTGTTCATAATAGTTCCAAACTAGAAACATTCTAAATGTCTTAATGCATATATAAATTGTAGTCGATTTGTACAATGGAGTATCACTCATTAGTAAAAATATGTACAAAAATAAATATAAATCTAATATGTACAAAAATAAATATAAATCTCAAGAAGCCTGCTGAAGCTAGGCGAGGTGGCTCACGCCTGTAATCCTAGCACTTTGGGAGGCTGAGCCCGGACGATCGATCGCTTGAGCCCAGGAGTTTGAGGTTGCTGTGAGCTAGGCTGACGCCACGACACTCTACTCAGGGCAACAGGGCAAGACTCTGTCTCAAAAAAAAAAAAAAAAATGAGCAAAAAGACAAACTGATCTATAATGATAAAATAGATCAGTGGTGGTTGTGCAGGGTGAGATTTCGGGATAGGAGATTGACTGTAAAAGTAGATTTAGTTTTTTTCTCCATTTAAAAATACCAGTGGTAAAAATTTAAGGCAATATAATTGGGTGATTAAAATTATTAGCCTTGGCATCATGAAAGCCCGAGTTGGAGTCCTGGCTCTACTATTTACTAGCTGTGTGATCTTGGGCCAACAATTTGACCTTTCTGTATTTCCTCATGTGTCAAATGGGGATAGTGGTGGCACCTCTATGCCAGTTGTCATGAGGATATTTACGTCGTCACGGATGCATAGTAAGTGCTCGGTAAGATGGCTTAATTTGGCAGTAGTAGTCTTTGCCAATGCTGATAATTGCAGTTTGCCACTCACGTGTGTCGCTCTTGGGATGCATATTGTGTTTTTATATTTTAAGAAGGGGAAGAAAAGAAAGTTGCTGATTAGGTTTCTATGGATCTTTGTTCTCTGGGCAGATAATTCACTGCCATTCACCGTAAACATGATGTGCGGTCTCCAGTACGTCAAGATAACAGAACCGATGTCCTTTACTGGAAGTTCCGCGTGACCTTTGCCTAAAAGCATCGCAGCTCCAATTTGTCCATAATGTGCTTTCTTCTTATTACTGTCTTTTTTCCCTTTGCGGGGACTGGCTATTCACCTCTTAAAATTCAGGGGTCCTTGGGCTTTTTAAACGGGGGGCCAGGTCACTGTCCCTCAGACTGTTGGGGAGTGCGCACTGGGGGCCCGGGACGCGTCGGCTGCTAAGCAGGACAGGCAGCGGCTGCAGCAAAAACACCCGGCGGGCTGGATGAATGTCCTCAGCGGGCCGCATGTGGCCTGCAGGCCGTTGTTTGAGGACCCTAAATGGTTCCCTTGTTGACATTTTCAAATGGCCGAGGATGATCTTTTTTTCCAAATAAAAAAGTTTTCTTGGTATAAAGCCAATTGGTCAAACTTGCAAGACCACGTGAGCTGAGATGAAAGCAACCCCGTTAACGTGAAATTGGGGTATTCAGTGGAGTTTTATAAATGAATGATACCATACCTTCATGCTAGGCCCTAGCTCATGGGGGATTTTCAAATAATTTCCAGTATGTTGGTATTTAAATCTTTGTTTCCTTGTGTGAATCAGCAGTTTTCAAGTCTGTCAGTGAAAGGGGAAAAATAAAACTGGGGAAGAAGTAAGATGATCGGGCACATCAAAGATAAAAAATTTTATGGGAGGGCATTGGAAAGGAGTTTCACGTGATTACAGGACTAACTGTTGCCTGGATGCGGGACCCTTTTGGGTTGAGACAAGGCGAATGAGAGTGTCTGCTTCCAGGCTCGTGTTCCATGTGATTTTATATCCTCAGATTCTCGAAGGCCGAGGACGGGTTAAAAATGGCTTAACCCCAGTAAGAAAGAAATACATTCCCGTGGGCCTGGCTAAAAACAAAAGCAGCAGGGATATGCTGCATTCAGTCACACGTCAACAGAAAGTGGTTTATTTGTGTTTTTCCTGAATGTCTTGTCTTCTGTCGCGTCCGTTTTGAAGCCTCGCAGCTTACGGGTTTGTCGCCTTCCCTTGCAGTGCCCGGTCGGCGTCCTCGCAGGAGCACGGTCATGGAGGTGGTGCCGGCCGAGGTGAATAGCTTGCTTCCAGAGGAGATAATGGACACGGGTATAACTTTAGTGGATGATGATAGTATTGAGGCTGTCATTGTTTCGTCCCCAATTCCCATGGAGACAGAGCTGGAAGAAATCGTCAGCATAAGTTCCGCAGCCGCGCCCGTCTGCACGGAGGCCGTCGCGGGGTACAGCAACCACTCTGACCAAGCGGCAGCCCCTCCAGCAGACCCCAGCAGCGCAGTGAAACCAGCTCTCCCCAGTGGCCTTCAGAAACTTGGTGCTCAGACTCCTGTGACCATCTCAGCCAATCAGATTATTTTAAACAAAGTACCGCAGACATCCGACCTTAAGCTCGGCAATCAGACCCTTAAACCAGACGGACAGAAGCTAATTCTAACAGCTCTGGGCAAGTCTGGCTCGCCGATCGTTTTAGCACTGCCCCATAGCCAGCTGCCCCAGGCCCCGAAAGTTCCAGCTCAGGCCCAGTCAGGAGATGCTAAGTTACCAGCGCAGCAAATTAAAGTAGTGACCATTGGAGGGAGGCCAGAGGTGAAACCTGTCATTGGTGTCTCGGCACTGACCCCAGGAAGTCAACTGATTAACACTACAGCCCAGCCCTCTGTGTTACAGACCCAACAGTTAAAAACAGTACAGGTAAAAAAAAAAAAAAAAAAAAAAAGGGCGCTTATGCATTAAAATGCATGTTTCAAAAGTTGAACTGATTCATAGTTGTGTCTGTAGGGCTATTAAATGCGCACTTGTTACTGAATTCTTTTGCATGTTGCTTTAAGTAATTGTGTGATTTCTTTCTTTTTTTAAAAAGTTTGATATGTCTAATGCTTATGCAAAATTTTCCCAGAGCAAGTTTAATTTCGGTTAAATTCCAAAGTAATGTCTTTATAGCCCCTTTTAACTCATTTTGAAATGCATTTTATTCTTCATGGTAGTTTGATTACAAGGAAGTTTTGCTGCAATCAAGATGCCAGACTTGCTGCAGGGCTTTCAAAAAATCATGGAGATAAAATTTTTTTTTTTCCGGTTCACAGATGGCCAAAGGGCGGGAAACCTTTGTTGCCCCGAGAAACCCTTGGAGCTAGCGGTAGTGCTTGCTGGTCACCGTGTGAGCATGCTTATTTGGAGTTTACTACTCATTACCATGACTCGTGTCTGCCATATGGGAAAGACAGTGACATATAATGCAAGATTATAATGCCCAGGCTTTAGAGATGGGCCAGCTGGGTCTGAGTTGCCTCTAATGCTATCCTACCAGTTATGGGCCTTTGGGTAGGTTACTTCTCTGAGTTTTTGCCTTTAGCTTAAGATGACTGATCATGATGAACTACGTAGTATAGTTCTCAAAACACTGAGGATCCTTCAGCATGGTACCTGTCAATACATGACCAGGACCCTAAGTTATGAGGTTACTAGAAATATAATGAGTGATTTCCAGATTTTCCTGCCCAAATAGGCTTTCAGAGGCCACCACTGCTTTTAGAAATGCAATGATCCACTTATGACCAGGAAACAAAAATGCATTCCCTATTTGAAAAGACTTGCCTTTGAGAAGAGGAGAAAGCATGAATTAAAGTATGGAAATGTATGAGGAAGTAGGAAGGTTTTGGGAAACTCTCCACTTAGCGCTGTGGTAATGAGAAGTAATGTTTTGGTTACTATGTTAGCAAAGGAATTAGAAACTTCGTGGGCCAGGAAGGCGTGGTGGCTCACGCCTGTCATCCTAGCACTCTGGGAGGCCGAGGCGGGAGGATCGCTCGAGGTCAGGAGTTCGAAACCAGCCTGAGCAAGAGCGAGACCCCCGTCTCTACTAAAAATAGAAATTAATTGGCCAACTAAAAATGCATATATAAAGAAAACCAATCAGCCAGACATGGTGGCGCATGCCTGTAGTCCCAGCTACTCGGGAGGCTGAGGCAGGAGGATCGCTTGAGGCCAGGAGTTGGAGGTTGCTGTGAGCTAGGCTGATGCCACGGCACTCACTCTAGCCTGGGCAACAAAGCAAGACTCTGTCTTAAAAAAACACTTTTCATGGGCTTTGCATTTAAGAACTTTATAAGGTTTTTCAAGTTTTGTAATTTGTACACGTCCCTGCTGCCACTGTTAAACATTTAGTGCCCTTTTCTTTCTCGCTGACTGTCCTCTCTCGCTGATCTGAGTTCCTTATACTTGTTTTTGCCGAGGATCTCTTGAGTGAGATGTCCTGTCACCATCAAGCATCTTGTCCTCAGTTGTGAAACTTGTTTTTATTGGTTTACCAGAGCTTATCTGGCTTTGGCAGTTTGGATCATAATCATGTTCAAAAGGAACTGATAACATGAATCAGAGTGTCGTTTTTTTCATTTATGAGAGCAAGGTATGCATTGTTCCAATGACCAGTGTACTTGTGTCCATTCGTTCTCTGCTATAATCCCCCAAGTATTGACAATAAAAATAGAGACTGGGGTCTAATTCTTATAACTTGTTTTGTTATTGTGACTTTCCTAAAACCTGATCCTATGCATTAAAAAAGAACTTCTATTTTTAAAAAAAATAACAAAAATGAAACACATGTGGAATATTCTTTTACTTGTCCAGTTATTTTAGGTGATGCAAATCTTTCCAACTCAGAAGAAAAGTACACAGGAAAAAAACAAAAAAAACTATGCATCTATATTTTTTTCTTCTTAGACACCAGAAGATTTAGTTTAGTGTTACATGGAGTATGAGATTCTCTGTTGTTGTTTTCTTTTTTTTGCCTAGACAGTCCTCAGTGTTGTCTTGAGTTTAATCAGAGTATTGAGAATGTTAGGCTATGCACAGCAGGGAAGGGTGGAAGGAGGAGGCCGATCTTGAAAAAGGGAAGGAAAGAGGTGACAGTTGAGGCCAGAGTCAGTAGCAGAGGTATCTGTGACATTTAATTACAGATATAAAAACACTTTCCCGTGTTTCCTATGCACCGTATTTAAGAATAGTAAGTAACTGTTTGGGACAGTATAACTCCTCACTAGCTCCCGAATCTATCCAACACAGCGCCAGAAATTACTTGCTTGTATTATTTGATGACTTATTTGGCTACCTCATTTGTAAAGTTCAAAAAAAATTTTTTTTTATTTTTGTTTTAATCTGTTGATCTTGTTAAAAATGATCTTGTTGAAACTTGTTAAAAATGGTCCTTTATGCTTTGTTTTACTTAATAAAGTAATATTGTTCCTAGGATAGCTTAGAATTCATAATGCAAAAAAAAAAAAAAAAATCATAGTTCCTTAATGGAAATGGAAGTTGTTATTCTTAGCAGTGCACCACTAAAACAACCACAGGGCAAGGTGAAATTGTTTATTTGCATAATTAATATGCTTTTTGGTTGTGTTGCTTATATTTTTTCCCTTATTGGTAAGTATTCATATACTCATATGATTGTGAAAATCATTTAAAAATGGGGAAATAGTTTAAGCCCATAACCTTAATTAATTAAGGTTAATTATTGCTAGATATGGACTTCTGGCCCATCTAGCTAGACTGTTAATACTTTTACCTCTTGAGATCATTAATGCTATGTATATAGGTAAAATTTTGACTTTAGAGTTTTCGGTCAATGATCACACTTGGGAAATGTTTTTTCTGTCTGTCTCTGAATTGCATCACTTTTCTAAAGTACAATTATAAATTTATTTGGGTATGTCATAGTTTTGCAAGCTGGGTATTTTTAAATATAGTAATGATCACATTTTTTTAAGGGGTTTTATATTTCATATACATTTTGTTTTGTCAATCATATGTCCTTGAGTGTAAGAAAATAATATATTCTGAGTGTAAGATAATTTATTGTTTAGTTTAATTTATGATTTGAAGCACAAAGAGCTGATATTTATCTAGTCTTGTGATCTGTTTTAGCTTCTCGTGTATTTCTGTTATTGAAGCTGGTTATTATGTTCATTCATTTGAGTCATTACTTCCTGTAATAGATAGTACTTTCAGGGTTTCAATTTTCATATCTGCCAAAATATAAATTTAATATTTAATGTTCTTCACACACTAAAATTATTTGGGTTTTATTATTGGTAAATTTCTGCTTCTTTCAGAAGCAGCTTTTTCTTTGGCAGTGGATAATTTCAATATGAAAACACTGGTAACTCTACCTACCTTCCTTGACTTATGGGGAATTTTAGTTCAGGTCAACAGTTGGCCAATATATAACTTCAGATCAAAGATGAGTAAAGTGGAGACCCTCCCTTCATGGAATTTAAAGTATAGTAAACAATATTTTAGTAAATAATATTTCAAAGCCTTTGCCTTTATAATAGTCTTTGTTCTACCAGACTTGTTTCTTTTGTATCCTAAGATTTTATCTTGTTCAGTTCTTCCTTTGCCTACACCTGATATAGATCTAGAGTTGAAAATCTAATCATAATCCTATCTTTGATGTGTATTTATATTTTGTATCTAGGGGCCAATGTAATTATATATATAGGTGGCTTGATCATTTGTACTGTACTTTATTAACTTTATCTTTTTATTATTGAATAATTCATTATTTTGAAAAAGAATATTGCTGTGCCATAATGCTTTATTAAACATTATTATTTATTAATAATTATTAATCATTGATCTGATTTTCATCACATGAATATAATATCCAAGAGACCAAAGGATTTATAATAAAATGCAAAGGTATTATATATGGGCTTAAAGGATGTGATCATTTTAATATTTTGTTGAACGGCTGCATCTTAAATGTTTTCAACATTAATACATAGATTTTGTCAAATGAGCTGGTTTTACACGTACTGCTGTGTATGAATCCTTTGTGTAATTTTTTATTTGATAGGTCTTTTATAGAAACAAATGGTCTTCATAGTTATTTTATGTTTCAGATTGCTAAGAAGCCTCGAACACCAACCTCTGGTCCAGTAATCACGAAGCTGATCTTTGCAAAACCAATTAATAGTAAAGCGGTTACAGGACAGACAACTCAAGTGTCACCACCGGTCATTGCAGGTTATATTTCTTTATAGTTTATTAAGCTATAGATTTATCATCCTTTTAGGTTTAAAAAAGCCTAGTGTGTCACCGTAAAATGTTTTCGTGAAACAAGCGTACTGCTTATTATTATAAACCAAACTAGTTAATAAGAAGTGTTACTCTTATTAAATGAATCCTTCAAGCAAAAGGCCGTGTCTCAAAATCAGTCCATTACTTTAGTGTCCTTAGTTTTTGGTAGAGGTTTACCATGAATAGCAAAGTCTTAAACTCTAATAATAATATTAATAGTGGCTATCATTTGTATAGTGTTCACTGTATGCCAGGCTTCCTCCTTAGCTCTTTACGTACAGTGACTTACACAGTTCTCCAGCAATCCTGTAAAGGAGGTGCTGATACCACACCCATTTGCCGACATTTGAAGTGGAGGCACTCAGCCAATATATGGCTGAGCTGGAATTGGAACCTGGGCAATTCGTCTCTAGAGCACACGTGCTAAGTCTAACAGATTTAAATTTATATACATGGGGCCAGGCGCGGTGGCTCACACCTGTAATCCCAGCACTCTGGGAGGCCGAGGTGGGAGGATCGCTCGAGGTCAGGAGTTCAAAACCAGCCTGAGCAAGAGCGAGACCCCCGTCTCTACTATAAATAGAAAGAAATTAATTGGCCAACTAATATATATAGAAAAAATTAGCCGGGCATGGTGGCGCATGCCTGTAGTCCCAGCTACTCGGGAGGAGGCTGAGGCAGGAGGATTGCTTGAGCCCAGGAGTTGGAGGTTGCTGTGAGCGAGGCTGACGCCACGGCACTCACTCTAGCTTGGGCAACAGAGCGAGACTCTGTCTCAAAAAAGAAAATAAATAAATAAATAAATTTATACACGAGAGTAGCATTTCATGGTTTGTGTTTGAGTTTTTGGTTTCAGCATTTTAGTATATTCTATACGTAGTTCTCTACGAACAGCAGATTGTCACAATGATAGTAATTACTTAAGCGATAACAGATTTTTAGATATATTCATTTTACCAGCATACTCCTTAGTGTGGCCCAGTTTTCTTTTATTTTATGCTTTAAAATTTGTCATCTCCAGTAACTGTCTCACCTCGGAAATCTTGACTTGAAGTGTTCCATTCTCTTTATTCTTCCAGTTTACTTGCCTTTACACGTTATTCTTTGACGCTGACCTCTCTGATCCATTGCTTCTTCCAGTTTCCCAACAGTCAACCCCTTCCTGTCCTCAAATTCTTCCTTATTGAAGATGGATTCCATGACCCATCACGCAAACGCCCCGGATTCTCTTTCCTGTTTCTTTCTCTAACGTCTTGGTTGAGTCCAGCACTCTCGCTCCTAGTCTAGCAAACAGCTATGGAAGCAGCTCGGTTCTTCTAGAGAAAAACCACACGGCCATGGGGACTGGTCTTTCATTCAGAGCTATACTGCGTTCTTCTTTTCACCAGTTGCAAGACCATTTCTAATTTCCATTGAGCTGAGCGCTTACATGGAAGCACCTTCAGATGGCAGACTCTGGACTAGAGACTTTCAGATCAGTCGCCAGTCCCTAGAATGTGCATCCCGGAAGAGGGACCTTCAGATGTTAACTGATGGCGCCTGGCATGTATTTCAAAACAGCCTACTGCCGCCTTTAATGCATTTCAGACATGGCAGTGGGCAGCTCTGAAGTCAGTGGTTTGTCATTTTCCTGAGGCTTTGGATTGTGTGGAAGGAGGCTTCTCACCTGAGCAAGTGAGAGAACGGGCGGAAAGGTCACAGTGTCAGGGCAGTGTTGAGTGAGCGGCTGTCGTCTTTGCCTTTGGGCCTCAGAAGAGATTGGTGGCAGTGTAGGAGGCTGCCGTCTTGAGGGCTGCCGCGCGTGGGAGGCAGGTGCGTGGCTCCAGATAAAATACCGGGAAGGGTCTGGGTTTGGAGCTGGTTTGGGTTGCGATTGGCTGAAAGTGAGCAAGGCTTGGATGTATCGATGAGAAGGAGGCCACTGGTCCCCTGAGGGGTTTTGGGTAGGTGGAGGGGGTTAATTGGAAGGAATATCTCAGTGCAGTGTTCTTTACTGTTTTAAGTTGGAAAGAGTCCCTGCAATTTTTAGTTAATGGGGAGGGGAACATTGTGTGTTAAACAGTTGTGGTGTTTACAGAAGAGTCCGAATGAATTCTTGGTCAATGTTAAGAGTTCGCCTTGACCGTCATAAGACTGCCATGGATGTCATTGCTTGGTCTTTGGGTTGTTTAAAATATACTGCAGACTGATCGTAGCTTTACCTTTTAATTGCAGACAGACTTAATAGCCCTACTAAATGCAGAGAAAGACCTCTGTTGAATTTCACTGGGATCGTTGGCATTAAGTTCATTTCAGAGGGATAATTTCTATTTTTAACTACTTCCTTTATAGCTTTTTAAAATTCATATAGGCCAAATTTCAAAGCACCGAAGTTAGCTGTCCTGTTGAATTAATGATATCGCAAGCAGATTCCATCATTGCTGATGCGGTAGTCTTTACACACTCATGTTTTCATTGCAACTAGTGCTTTTTCAGCATACATTGAGGTTGCTTTTTAATGATTTGGGGGCTTCTCGTTGAAGATGGGCATCTTTTTCTATCTTTTGGTCAAGATAAACTTACATTAATATTTGTATATAAGTGATTTTTCTAAAACACAAGTCTGATTTTTGTCACACCCTTGCTTAAACTTTTCTTGGCCTTTCCATTTCTTGGCCTGGATCTGCCAGGATTAAGGCCAGACACCAGTGCTGTTCTGACGTTAAAGACTTCTATGGCTTGATGCATTCCTTTTTTAAAATTTTCACCTTCTGTCAGTTCCAGACCTACTGATTTAACTTATTTTAAGAGATCACCAAATGGATTGTGTTCTCTCAGGATTTAGAATCCCAACACTGTTCATTTTACGTGGAATGCCTTTCTCTGCTGCTCCCCGTGGATGATGCATCCATTTTGTCTTTGGGATACTCATCGTGGAAGTTTTTGACTTCTAGGTTTAGTCAGGTACCATCTCCTATATATTACCATGAAATTTAATTATGCTTACCACGTATTTATCTTTTTATTTTTAAATATTTATTTATTTATTTTTATTTTTAAATATTTAAAAATTTTTAATTTTTTACTTTTAGTTTATTTTTGCTTTTTTCTTTTCCTAAGCAAGTTTTCACAAGTAGAAAATATCTTTTTTTTTTTTTAAGACAGAGTCTCACTCTGTTGCCCGGGCTAGAGTGCCGTGCCGTCAGCCTAGCTCACAGCAACCTCAGACTCCTGGGCTCAAGCGATCCTCCTGCCTCAGCCTCCCGAGTAGCTGGGACTACAGGCATGCGCCACCATGCCCGGCTCATTTTTTGTCTATATATATGTGTTAGTTGGCCAATTAATTTCTTTCTATTTTTAGTAGAGACAGGGTCTTGCTCTTGCTTAGGCTGGTCTCCAACTTCTGACCTTGAGCAATCTTCCCTCCTCGGCCTCCCAGAATGCTAGGATGACAGGCGTGAGCCACCACACCTGGCCGTGGCTTAGGTTTTTAATCATGGCTCTTCCTTGATTTTCTCTGTGGTTTTGGGTAAATATATTATGGTATGGTAAATATATTATTTCTGTAAAATGTAGATACCAACCACCTCACAAAACTTTTGCTGTAGTTAAATGAGTTATAGAAGTTCTCATGATCAGAACTCCCGCAGTACAAGGTTGCCTCATGTGAGCAAACCTCATCACTTTGTAAAACTGTTCATTAATTAATGAGATGAATGAGAATTAATCATCTCATTAATTATGAGATGAATTCATCTCATATAGAATTTGGCCTTGCTCAGGTTAGTCTAACTTCTTGCCCCAGCGTAGCTCATCTGTGACTTTTTGGAATGTGTCCCTTTTGATTCTTGGAGGATAACTGACAGTGGAATATTAATGCTGGTAAATTGATTTCAAGGTGAAATCGAATAACTTGCATACTTGCTTGAATCTGTCTGTGGAGCTGAGGATAAATAAGGATTTGGAGGTTAGATTGGATTATCAGAAATGCTATTTAGGTAAAAACCAAGCAGACCCCTCAAGAAAAAAAAATTAAACTTCAAAGGATATAGAAGTTCTTTGGAAAATTGATTACATCTTGAAATATTTTGGCAGAAATGACCTTCCAGAATATTCTTATGGTTATGTTGTGCCCATCAAGTAGAATCTGTTATTGTGCTGTCATTACCAATTTTCAGAAGAAACCTTTCTCCCCCAAACTCAGCAGCTGATTTTTTCTTTCTTCATCTTGAGGGTTAGTGCAGTTGTTGTTATAAACTGAATTTTTTAAAAAATATAAGCCAATCGCTTCTTGGCTTTTCGGCTAAGATCAAGTGTAATAAAAATATAAGCCAAAAAAAGTAAGCAAAACTTTTAGTTTTCTTTGTTAATTACAATGAAATTTTTGTCCCTGTTATAAGTGAATTCACTCTAAGTGGCCTTTTTTTGATATCAGTTACCGTCAGGAATTGAGGATTTTCTTTGTGAACATTTTCTGAAAGGTATGTAATTCCTAACAAATATGAGATTATAGCAATAACTATAAATGATGAGAATTTTATGACACTCTGCCTTTATTGGTAATTTCTTTTCGTAACTTACTGGCTGTTGGGCTTCAAGCTTATTTCACTGGTATTAGTTTTGGAAACCAGAATAGACAAGCATGTTCCTTCAGCTAGGCTCAACACTTCAGGGTGGCTTTCTGAAAATATCTGATGTAGATTCACTCAGTTTATATAGAATTCACTTTATCTAGTCATGATGTTTTCAGGTTTTTTAAAAACCCAGCAATATGTAATCATGTACTATAAAAAAAAATTTGAAAGTTGTATTTAAAATATTTAAAGAATTCATAAATGAGAATAAAACTCGATTCAGTTTTTCAAGAAAAAGCTGTGTGTATACTTTGGCATTGTAATCCAGAGAGACTGCCCAGAAACTGCTAAGTCCGAGTTCTTTATTTTTGTCTAAGGGGAAAATCCCTTCTCTCTCGCTCTCTTTCCTCTTCTCCCTCTCTTTCTTCCTGTCTCCTTCATTTCTAGCTGTATCTGTAAGTTCAGTGAGAGCATCTAAAGGTTAGAAATGATTTTAGATAATTTAGTTATCTACTTCTACTTCCTAGATGCTTAACTTCCCTCTTTAGCCACTGGACCTGATTACTAGCCTCTGTTTGGAACACTTTCAGGGACTAGAAACTCACTTGTGTTAAAAGAGTCAATCGCCACTGGAAATTTTTGTTACAAGTTTTGTTCTTAGTGCTGAGCTGAAATTTTTTTTCAGATTGATTCTAATCCTTCCACCTGGCAGCCTGGATCAGTCAGGATAATCTTGGTCTTCCTGCCAAAGTAACAATCTCCGGTCTTAAAAGAGCTAAAAAAAAAAGCCCTCAAAGTTTTATCTTTTTATTCATACTTAATGATTATCCACGTGCCCGTTGAGGGCTCAGAGTGGAGCTTTGCTCATCGTACCCAGGGACACGGGCTGACAAAGGACCCCGTGTCTCAGACGCAGCGGAGGAAAAGAAAGCTTAGAAGGTCTTCCACAGGGAGAAGTGACTGCTCTGGCCCAGATATGACACATGTCACTTCCACCCGTGACTCCTTGGCCAGAAGTAGTCGGATGACCCTAGCTTAACCACACGCTAGACAGGGAGCGGGCGTGGGCAGGAAGTACAGGTGTAGTTTTGCTGGGTGCCCAGACCGGAGGGGAGCTAGAACACTTGGTGGATGGCACTGATCACTGGCACACATGCTTGCAGGAATTTGGAGATCTGTCGTGTCTTTGTATTCCTTTCTTGCCTAGGATAAAAATGCTCAGTGTTTCAATTCATTGTAATATGACTTCTAATTTCCTAACCGTCCAGACACTCTGTAATCTTCCTTCCTTCCTTCTTTCCTCTCTCCTCTCGTCTCCCCTTTCCTCTCCTTCCTTTTCTTTCCTTACTTCTTCCCTCCCTCCCTTCTTTCTACCTTCCCCCTTCCCCTCCTTTTGCTCCTTCCTTCCTTCCTTCCTTCCTTCCTTCCTTCCTTCCTTCCTTCCTTCCTTCCCTTCGCTTCACCTTCCTCCTCCCTCCCTCGCCCTCCCTCCCTTCCTCCCTTCCCTCTCCCCTTCCCCTTCCCCTTCCCTTCCACCTGGACTACAGTATAGCAGAAGCATCATACCTCACTGAAACCTCAAACTCCCGGGCTTAAGTGATCCTCCTGCCTGGACCTCCTGAGTAGCTGGGACTATAGGCACGTGCCACCACACCCAGCTAATTTTTAAATTTTTTGTAAAGACGGGGTATTGCTATCTTGCTCAGTCTGGTCTTGAACTCCTGGACTCCAGCGATCCTCCTGCCTTGGACTTCTAAAGTGCTGGGATTACAACCATGAGCCACTGCTCCTGGTGTCCCCCCTGCCCCACCCTCCCGCCAGGACAGGGTCTTGCTCTTGTCACCCGGGCTAAAGTGCAGTGGTGTCATCATAGCTCACAGCAACCTCCAACTCCTGGGCTCAAGCGATCCTCCTGCCTCAGCCTCCCGAGTAGCTGGCTCTACAGGCATGCGCCACCATGCCTGGTAAATTTTTGCTATATATGTTAGTTGGCCAATTAATTTCTTTCTATTTATAGTAGAGATGGGGTCTTGCTCTTGCTCAGGCTGGTTTTGAACTCCTGACCATGAGCAATCCGCCCGCCTCCACCTCTCAGAGTGCTGGGATTACAGGCATGAGCCACCGTGCCGGCCTGAACTTGCTTTCTGATAGATACAACTTAACAGTATTGATCAGACTATGAGCAGAGCTGTTTACTTAAACTAAGATATTAAGTATTACTAAGAACCATTGTTTTGTCTGTCTAGGTTTACCATAGTTCATTAGGAACTCACTTAAGTGTTTAAGTGCATATATTGATATATATGAAATAGTGAACATATTTTATATATATATACCGTGTTCCCCTGAAAATAACACCTACCCATAAAGTAAGCCCCAGCAGCAGGATGTCTAAGCATGTGCACAATAGATGCCCTACCCAAGAAAATCAGCCCTAGTGGTGGGCGTGGCTATGAAAATCAGCCCTGGTGATGGGCGTGGCTATGAAAAATCAGCCCAGGTGATGGGCGTGGCTATGAAAATCAGTCCTGGTGATGGGCGTGGCTATGAAAATCAGCCCTGGTGAGGGGCGTGGCTGCGCAGCGCATCTGCACAACCCATGCGTGGTCGCGGAGCGGGAAAGAAACATGAGGCCCTTCTCATCTGCCCCGTGAGAGTCTAGTGCTCGACAGGAGAGATCGGGCGCGTGGGCTCTAAAGGAAACAGAGTCACAAGACATTCAGGATGGGATTCGGGGTCTGGAGAGTGAGGATGATGTTCCAGAGGAAGACGACTTCACTCTATTTGAATCGATTTAGATGGTTGTACTGTACTTAAAAAAAAAATAACACATCCCCTGAAAATAAAGCCCAAATGGGTTGCTGAAAAAAATAATTACAAGACCCTGACTTATTTTCGGGAAACACGGTATATACACACATTCCAGTCCTTGTGGCTGTAGATCATCATCACATAATTTTGATGATATTATTTTAAAAAGTCAGACTGACGTGCTGCCTCTCATTTGCAGGTAGGGTTCTCTCACAGTCCACTCCCGGAACTCCATCAAAGACCATAACAATATCTGAAAGCGGTGTTATCGGATCCACTTTAAATTCTACAACACAGACACCAAATAAAATAGCCATCTCACCTTTGAAATCGCCAAATAAGGTAACAAATGATAATAATAATTAGCCACAAATGCTATATATTGTGATTGATACCTTTGTTTTCTTACAAGTTACTTCAGATACTTCAGTTTTAATATATTCCCAAGCAGGTAATAGACATTCAGTGAATGCTGGATTAATTTTATAACCAAGGATGTCTGACAGAGGAAAAACTTATTTTAAACACATAGTAACGTAGTAATCATTTTGCATGTTACAATGACTTCCATGGCCCATATGAATGTGGGTATGATAAAAATCTTCTGAATAAAGTAATTATGTAAGTGTTTAGTTCCTCTTTAGTTAATATTTTAACATGATTATTATCTTTGGGGAAGGCACACATATAGTGACTGTAATTATAAATGGAGATCTGAGCTTTTGCCGGATGACAGGCCCCAGAGTTCTAGAAATTGCCGTCACATGCTGGTAACCGTATTATCAGTGTTCTTTAAGCTTAAGTACATTTCATTGGAAGCTTTTCATGATTTGTTTTTTTTTTTTTTTTTTTGAGACAGAGTCTTGCTTTGTTGCCCAGGCTAGAGTGAGTGCCGTGGCGTCAGCCTAGCTCACAGCAACCTCAGACTCCTGGGCTCAAGCGATCCTCCTGCCTCAGCCTCCCGAGTAGCTGGGACTACAGGCATGCGCCACCATGCCCGGCTAATTTTTTGTATATATTTTTAGTTGGCCAATTAATTTCTTTCCATTTATAGTAGAGAGGGGGTCTCGCTCTTGCTCAGGCTGGTTTCGAACTCCTGAACTCGAGCAATCCGCCCGCCTCGGCCTCCCAGAGAGCTAGGACTACAGGCGTGAGCCACCACGCCCGGCCCATGATTTGTTTTCATTTGAAGATGGCTAAGCACCTCTATCGTTTCATTCTCAGGTAAAGTAAGCACTATAACTCACTCTCCTAAAGCATACAGATGTCATTAGACTAGCACAGCATTTCAGAAATGGCATGTTTTAAAGCCGCTATCTAGGTGGAAAGCCAAGCATTCATTACTCTGGAAGGTGCTGCCCTCGTGACTCTGGAACATTCTGACCTTTGCACCTTGATGTGTCACTGTTCGTAATAGAACAAACAGTAAACATTTGCCTTCCATTTTTAAAAAGTCCAACTATTGGTTTCTGTTTTAATGAGGCTTGAATATAATGTGTAAATATATGTCGCTTACAGTTGATTCAAGTGGGATTTTACCTCCCTGTTAAGATAGGTAATTTCTTTCCCAAATGGGATGAAGTCAGCAGATAATTAATTGAGAGCTCCACTATGCGCCGTGCATGGTGGTAGGCGCTGGGGACACAACGTGACTGAGATAAGATGTTTTTCTTTTTTTAATTTAAAAAGGTTTAAATTTAAAAAGAGTCAAATTTGAGGACCATGACCCGGAGCCACGCCCAAGAAGCCCTGAGCGAGTGGACTCGCTGTGGCTGGGTTACGGTTTGGTTTTATACATTCCAAGGATGAGGTTTTTAATGTCAAGGAGCTCAATCAGGGCATCAGACCGGAACGTTGAAAAGCTGCCCCACAAAGTTACAAGGTCGTGCGTGGGTCGACGAGCTCTGCTGTGTGTGTCAGGGACGGTTTGTACGGAGGAGGCCGTTCTGGAAAGCTCTTAACCTTAAAGGTGGGCTGGACTTAGCCGTGGAGGAGCAGAAGGACTTTCTGGAACTCGGTGTTACTTTATGTAAAAGTGTGACCCTCTTAGGGAGTGACGTTGTTCTGGCAGGGGGCTAAGGTTAGATGGAAGGTCTCATCTTCAGGGCAGTTTGGATTTTGTTGTCCTTAAAGACGTTCTATGACTTCCCACTGCATTTAGGGCAGTGGTTCCCGCCCGCGTCCGCACACTGGGGTCACCTGGAGCGTTTTAATAAGTCCTGACGCCTGGTTCTCGTCCCCAGAAATTCTCTTCTCATCTCTCTGGGGCAGGGGTCCTCAAACTTTTTAAACAGGGGCCCAGGTCACTGTCCCTCAGACCGTTGGAGAGTGCACACTGCGGCCCGGGAGGACAAGTCGGCTGCTAAGCAGGACAGGCTGCTGCAGGGGTAAATGTCCTCAGCGGGTGGCATGTAGCCCTCGGGCCACAGTTTGAGTACGCCTGCTCTGGAGTTTGGCCTGATATCAGGATTCTTTTAAAGCTCCCTAATCAGCCTACATTGAGAACCACTGCTCTAAATAAGATGTGATTTGATTTTTTTTTTTTTTTTTTTTTTGGAATCAGAGTCTCACTCTGTTGCCCAGGCTAGAGTGAGTGCCATGGCGTCAGCCTCGCTCACAGCAACCTCCAACTCCTGGGCTCAAGCGATCCTCCTGCCTCAGCCTCCCGAGTAGCTGGGACTACAGGCATGTGCCACCATGCCCGGCTAATTTTTTCTATATACATATTAGTTGGCCAATTAATTTCTTTCTATTTTTAGTAGACACGGGGTCTCGCTCTTGCTCAGGCTAGTCTCGAACTCCTGACCTCGAGCAATCCGCCCGCCTCGGCCTCCCAGAGTGTTAGGATTACAGGCGTGAGCCACCGCGCCCAGCCTGGTTGCTATATTTAAATCAGATAATCTTTAGTTTTTAGTGCTGTCGTCCATGCATATTAATTACCCAATAAATGTAACTATTAATGACTTTTTCCGCATTTGGAACTAATATAGCAAGGACTATGTCTCTTGCACCATTGTACATATTTGTCTCATAGGTTTCTTGATTTTTCATTAGCTTCCATATTTATACATTCCGTCCTTTTTCTTATGCTTTTTGTTTTCATTTAATTCACCGAGTTCTATGGCTATTGTTACCAACTTTATTTTGAATCTGCTTTTTCATGCCTCTACCTAATGATAATACGTGAACTATTTTTTTCTATTGACTGTAGAGTTTCCAAACTAAATGGCCTTCTTTTTTCTTTCCCCTGGGCTTTTATGAAAATGTCCCAGAATTTCAGAATTCTTATTTCATAAGCTATTATCCATTCACATAGTGAATATAGATTTCTTCCATCCTATGTCCATTCTCTTTTAGCATGAGGGCCTTTTATAGAATAGATGGGGATATGGATACAATTCTTTATAAAATAATGCTATATAACTAATTAGAGACTCTTGTTTGAACTTTGTACGACAGCGTGTTACACATTTGTGGAACATCAGTTGGGGACGTCTTGGGAGACTCAGTCTGGTCTGCTCTGCCTGTGATGATCATTTTAGCCTTTGGGGAAGCCCTGTTGCTTCCGTCAGACTGATGGAAAGGACTAATACTAATCCTCAACTTTTAAATGATTAAATCATTTTAGTTAATTAAAATCGTTGTATTTCCTCAGACCTGATTCACCCCAAATGAGTTGCCCTGGACAAATAAAATTAGGGTAATTTTGGACTGAATTTGGCCGCCTCATATGCTGGTGCATACTTCTGTACCTAGGGAGTATTATAGGCTGTGCAGAATCAACTAGAATTAATGGAGGTATAAGATGGGCTTTTCTTTTGGGTTTCTTTCTCCTGTAGAATGTGGCAATATCAAATTTGTCATAGTTAATTTTATTTGTAGTAATGTCACTATCTGTATTCTCTTTTCTCTGTATTAAATATGGGGCTTAATTCTGGGCGTTTTATCTTTTATTTATTTATTTGTATTTATTTATTTTCCTTTTTCTTTTTTTTTTTTGAGACAGAGTTTACTCTGTTGCCGATGCTAGATCTGTGCCGTGTGCATCCAGCCTCGCTCAAGCAACCGTCCAACTCCTGGCTCAAGCGATCCTCCTCGCCTCAGGCCTCGCCAAGTCAGCTTGGACTACAGGCATGCGCCACCATGCCGCGCTAATTTTTGTAGTATACTTTTTAGTGTGGCGCAATTTTAATTTCTTTCTATTTTCAGTAGAGCGGCGGTCTCGCTCTTGCTCAGGCTGGTTTCGAACTCCTGGGACCTGCGCGATCTTCTAGGCCTCGGCTCCCAAGTGCTTTCCTGAGTTACAGGCGTGGCCACCTCGGCGCCTGGCCTTTTTCTTTTGTTTTTATTGTTTTTAGGATAGTAGCGCCTGGGGTTCTTCCCTTTGTTCGTGTGTTTAGCCATCTCAATTTAGCTCAAGTTCTGGGCGTTTTTTTTTTTTTTTTTTTTTTTTTTTTTAATTATTTTTTTTATTTGGCAAGAAGTTGCTGGGCGTTTTAAAGTTCATCTTTGCTTATAAATTTGGGTACCCGGTATTAAACACTGTTGGGAGTTCTTACAAATCGAAGCGCATCATTTCGTTTCATAGCAAGTCCTACCAGCCTGGACCCTCAAGAGGAGTTACCTACTAGGAAGAAGGTAGAGGGCGGGCGTTCGATTTTCGGCTTCCCTCCTGTTTCATTACTGGTGTTCTTCATTTGAGCAGGTTTGTCCTTTTAGCAGCTTTTTTTTTTTTTTTTGAGACAGAGTCTCTTTCTGTTGCCCATGCTAGAGTGCCTGGCGTCCAGCCTCGCTCACAGCAACCTCCAACTCCTGGGTTCAAGCGCATCCTCCTGCCTCAGCCTCCCGAGTAGCTGGGACTACAGGCATGCACCACCACGCCCGGCTAATTTTTGTGTTATATATTTTTTATTGGCCAATTAATTTCTTTCTATTTATGGTAGAGACGGGGTCTCACTCTTGCTCAGGCTGGTCTCGAACTCCCAACCTCGAGCGATCCTCCCGCCTCGGCCTCCAAGAGTGCTGGGATGACAGGCGTGAGCCACCTCGCCCGGCCCCTTTTAGCAGCTTTCTGATGGAACACAGGAGTGCGCTGTGTCACTGAGAGCTCGCGTGGAAGCCACGAGAGCAGGAAAGCTCAGTGCCAGACTGACGGCAGCCGTGTCGTGCTGTCTTCCAGGCCGTCAAGTCCGCCGTGCAGACCATCACTGTGGGCGGGGTGGGCGCGTCACAGTTTAAGACGATCATCCCTCTGGCGACCGCTCCCAACGTCCAGCAGATCCAAGTGCCTGGAAGCAAGTTCCATTATGTGCGGCTGGTCACGGCCACCACGGCCAGCAGCTCCGCCCCGCCCGTCAGTCAGAGCGCCAGCACCAACAGCCAGCCCCTCCAGCAAGGTCGGTAAACGGTTTTTTGTTTTTTTTTTAATAGTAATCCATGCTTTTTTGTTTGTTTGTTTTTGAGACAGTCTCCCTTTGTTGCCCAGCCTAGAGTGAGTGCCGTGCGAATCAGCTCTAGTCACAGCAACTCTCAACTCCTGGCTCAAGCGACCTCCTGCCTCAGCCTCCCGAGTAGCTGGGACTACAGGCAACGCCACGCCGGCTCATTTTTTCTAATATATTAGTTGCCATTAATTTCTTTCTATTTTAGTAGAGGCGGGGTCTCGTCTTGCTCAGGCTGGTCTCGAACTCCTGACCTTGAGTGATCCTCCTGCTTGGCTCCCAGAGTGCTGGGTTATAGGCGGAGCCACCCTCGCCTGGCCTAAAATTCAGAATTTAATGTAGAGATCCCCCCTTAGCATTCATGGTCCTCAGCAAACGTCTGCCCTTTGCCCTTTGTCTACTGTCACCCAGGTGCCATTCTCTCT